AGTAGTGATGCTCCTGTTTTCAGCTTCCCAAGGGAAAATTTGGGGGGCAAAAAAAGGGTAACTCTCCAGGAATACAATTAAATGAGAAAAGATAGTGAAAACCTCACTGATTATAAGAGGAAAGGTGATAGGTATGTATCTTTGTGTATCTATGCTCAGACATATGTGTTCTGAAAGAAACAAAATATAGGCATTGAGGGAAGCGTATATGACAGTAGTTAGAAGTACCAAAAGAAACCATGGACAAAAAAGATTTTCTGTAAGATGAAGCTGAACTGTGGGACTGTCCAGTGAGTGACCTAGGCAGATTTCCAAACAGCAGAAACAGGGAAATTCAAATTCAGGGTCTAGTACAATTGTGAGAATTCTTCGCTTGAAAACAAAGTGAATGGAGCATTCAGGAGAATGTAAATTAAATCATGGAGGGAAGACAAAGGGGACTTTCTCTTTAGGCTGAGAATTTTGGCTCCTAAGAACAATTGTGGCTCAAGCTATATAGTAAACCGGGCTTGATGCAGTCAAGATGTGAACTATAAGTGAGGGAGTGAGCCCCTGCGCGGGGGGCGGGCAGGTCTTCTCAACGGTGTGTCTGCAATTGTCTGTTGCATCACTACCTGGTGGCCGGGAGCCCACCATGAGGCCTAAAGTGGGCCAAGAGTTTGTTTGGTGTTTTAACAAAGCTCTTTTGTGTCTCCAAAATGTTCTTGTAAGAGCAGCAGGCAGAGGACATGTTTTTAGTGTTTAGAATTTCCAGTCTTCTGAGATCAATAAGAATTTATAGTTCTGTGTTGTTGTTCTTAGGCACATAGATATGCTCGAGGTGTTCTGGAAAATAAAATGGTGACAGATTAAAGAACAAAGATAATTATTCAGGCCATGAACTAATAGAAAGGAGTAGAGGAGAAAAGAAGTTTCTGTAAGCAATGAGGGAAGGGTTTGTTTTATTTATTTATTTATTTATTTTTGTCCTTGTACAAAAGCATCCCTTCTCCCAATACTCTCAAAAAGACTTTTGGAAATACTTTGGTTAATTCATGGATTTAAAAAAAAAATTAGTGTATGTTTGCAATATATAATAATTACATTCATCTTAGGCAGTTGGTTCTTTTACAGATTGGATCTTGATCATTTTTGTTCTCCTTCCGCTTATACTTTTCTCTTTCCCACTTCCCTAGATCCCTTGCCCATCTCTACAAAGTCTGTTCTTCTATTTCCTACTATTTCTTTTTTTTTTTGCGGAACTGGGGATTGAACTCAGGCCCTTGTGCTTGCCAGGGAAGCACTTATTCCACTGAGCCATCTCCCCAGCCCCTACCTACTATTTCTTTTTTATTCTGATCTTTAAACTATATTTTGAGTTTCTCATAAGTAGAAACATTGTGATACATAAACGTCTGTGTCTGGTGTATTTCACTTGGTAGTACAGTCTCAGGATCCAGCCATGACTCAAGTTTATCCATCTATATGGCTGAGTAGTACTCCACTGTGTGTCTGTCATATGTCCTTTATCCATTCATCCCTCGATGGCCCTGTGCAACAGGCTGCTTCGCCAATGTCACCATTGTGAATTGCGCTGTTATAAACATGGTTGTGCGTGTACCATCTGATCCTGACACGAACTCTTTGATCATGAGGCTTTTGGGGAAGTTCTTCAGCTAGCTAGGACCTCTGAGGAAGTGAAACTGCTCTCCAGAGGGAGGCCTGACCCAAGCTACAGGTGGGGAAAAAGGGTTTCACTGCGTGATTGGAGGGGCGGCATCAGGCACTCCACACTCTGCAAGAAAAAGCTCCCCATCCCAGAAATTCCTTCAGAGGAAAATCAGCTCAGGTTACACCCCGTCTTTCAGTGGTCTGTCATTGTTCTTACACGATCCAAACATTTGACTGCCAGCAGGGCCTTGCGTGATGTGACTGTTTATATTTCCAGCGTCACTAGTTCTTTCTCTCCAGCCCTGTCCGATGACCTTGCTGGGTGCTTCACAGCTTCTCAAACATGTCACGCTCCTTCCTGCCTCCAAGCCTGTGCACACAGTCGCCTCTGTCTGGGAGGCTCACCAGCGTGCTTTCTGTGGAGAATTCTTGGATTCATCCCTCGAGGGGCTTTCTTTCTGTGATTATCCTACATGGAGTAGATTATGCACTGTTGTTCTTAGCCCCTTGTATATATTTTTGATAGCACTTAGCACAGGTTCAGTTATTTGCCTTGGAGATTGGTTTACTTGGCAGGAGAATGTATTTGTGTGTTTTCTTCTAGTCGAATGTGAGCTTGCTGAGGGCAGGGACTTGTATAATCTTGTTCACTGCGTTATTCCCAGCCTGTAGTGCTGGGCTTAATACAAACACAGTTGCTGAATGAATTCATGAACTGATAAAGTTATCCCTATGCCATGTATGCTGCAGTGGGCTGTTTGTATCATTGACAGCTCTAAAAGATTTGCCATCACTGCCTTAAAGGTTATAGCTTGGAAGTGTTTACGATGTCTCTGTATTAGGCCATTTTCCATTGCTCCAACATAATACCTGGGGCCAGGTAATGTAAGAAGAGGTTTTCTTCGCTCACAGTTTCGAAGTTCAAGGGCCTGGTACCACCACTGGCTCAGCTCTGGGGAAGACCTCACAGCACATATTGCTGTGGTGGGAGTACATGCAGAAGAGCGAGATAGGAAGTTGGAGGGTGGGGAGAGGCCAGTCTTTTCTCTTTTATAAAAATCTCCTTGAAGAACTAACCATAGTCCCATGAGAACATTAATCCTTTCACAGGGCAGTGCCGCTAATTACCTGAAAACATCCGACTAGGCCGCATCCCTTAAAAGCCATGCCACCCTTCACATCCCCACACGCACCTACTCTTGGGGTGCCAAATCACATCCGTGCTAGAGCAGTCTCCACATGAGGGTGTAACCAGGGCTCACTGTGACCTGCTCCGTAAGACGTGCTCGGGGGGGACACTGAGCCCTCCAGGCTGGGGACTCCCCTTGTGCGCTTGGCTCGCGATTGTAGGTCCCTTTTGTGCTTTTCTCAGCCTTGCCTGGGGGAAAGACAGAGGGGCAGTAAAGGCGGTCAAGTCTACGTCACACCCTCCCTTAGTTCTTTGCTCAGTGCTTTCACTGGTTGATACTTTTCTTCTTTCTCGTGTGTATGTGTGTTTCTGTGTGTGTTCGCGTTCCCGCCAGATGTTAATCTCTTTGAAGCTAACGTGCTTCGGTCTTTTCCCTGTTCATGGTGCGAAACAAATGGGAGGATGAGGGCGTATGACTCCAGTGAGTACATTTTTCGTAGCCCCCACTGCTTTCGCCTGTCTTTCTCCTGACCTGGAAATAGGCATCGCTCTGGGCTGTTTCCCCGTTGGCTTCTCTTAGACATTTCCAGAGAACTTTCCTTTTTTAAAAAATAATTTTATTGCGAAATAAGTAGCAATGAGATAGTTTCAAAATGGGTTAGTAGGACAGTTATAGTAATTAATATGTTGCATATTGTTATCTTCGTAGTAGTTATTCATAGTACAAGATGCAGACTTGTATGTACTATGTACTCCTGTCCAAACACTATTAGTACGAATCTTTCTTCTCGTTAAGAGAAAGTAGCCGTATATCTCTCCTATTTTGTGTATACAGATACAAAATAGTCCTTCATTTATATTCCTTTTTTTGTTTACTTTTTTCAGAGATGGGTATTCCATTGCCACTTAAATATTGTAGGTACATGGATTCAGCAGAGTAATCCAATCTAGTTCAGTAGTCTATAATAGTAGTGGGTTATCTGTTGTCTTTGCAGAGAACTGTCCTTAGGTCGACCTCATTTTCTTCTCCCATAAAGTTGGAGCTTGCGACCATGTCCTGGCAAAAGCGACCAACTGTGTGCCTTGGACTCAGGCTGGAGCCTTCCTTGGGTCTCAGCTCCTGGCTATCTCGCTTCTCCCACCCACCCTTGGGAACTGTGCTTCTTACCCACCTTGGGAAACTTGCCCTGCTCTCTGCCCCAGCTTTGTGGTTGGAGGTCAGCCGTCCATCGGTCTTCCTTCTGAATGACATTTTCTTAAGTCTCATACCACAGTGTTTCACCAAAATGACCTTCTTAAAGTCTGATCAGATCATTTCCTGTGCTCTAAACCCACATCAGTTCTTCATTGTTTTCAGAAGAAATCCCAGCTGTTCAGGGTATCATGTTAGTTTGGTCATAATGTGTCCCTTGTCTCCCTCTATCTCCTTATTTCCATCTTGCTGCAAGAGTACTTTTGTAGAAGTCGCCATTTATTGAGCACTTACTATGGGCCAAACAACCTGCTGAATTCTTTATATCTTCTATCCATTGGGAGCTCCGTGTGGAGTTGTTACTTGTTTATTTCCCTGCCTCCACAATTCTGCCAAGCACAATAGATGTTTGTTGAATAATTTAATGAATGGTTTTGTCTTGAGGAATATTTAGTCTAAAGCTTGCAGCAGATAAATAATTGATTACTTTGTACCAGGAAGGACCATCTGTCTTCAGCTCACTGGAGTCAGGGAAAGCTAGAGCCAACCCTCACCTCACGTGACCTGGGCCACCCAATTTGGCCTCCCTGTCTCTCACTCTTGTCTGTAGATTGTAAGACCATTCCTGTGCTGACATTCCGAAACTCTTAAAACTGTGGGTTTATCA